TGGGCAGTTAGTTTTTTTCTTGCAAAATATTGTAGATTTTAGTAATAAGGCCTTTGTCTGATGTGTCATTGCTAAAGGTGTTTTCCCAGTCTGTGGGCTCTCTTATTACTCTCTTAATGAATTCTTTCGATGTATACAGGTGTTTTATCTTCCGTATATCCCACTTGTCAATTTGTGACTCACCTGTATTTGTGTCTTTCCCGATTTCCGACAACCCTATGTATTCCCTTTGCCAAGGTTTTCAGTTTTGTTCTGTTTCCCTCATTAATGGCCCTAATAGTTTGGAGTCTTACCTCAAGGTCTGTGATCTACCCAGAGTTTATTCTTGTTTATGGAGTGAAGTAAGGGTCTTGCTTCATTTTTCTGCATTTACCCATTTTTTAAAGCACCACTTATTGAAGAGGCCATCTGCTTCCTGTTTGATATTTTTTGGGCCCTTTAAAAAAATCAGTTGTCTGTATGCTGATGTTTTTATTTCTGGGTTTTCTGCTCTTTTCCATTGGCCTGAATATCTGTCGTTATACTCGTACCACACTGTTCTGACCACTGTGGCTATATAATATGTGCTGAAGTCAGGTAGAGCAAGCACTCCTACTTTGTCCTTCTTCTTGAGGCATTCTCTCCTAATTCTGGGTTTCTTCCCTCTCCATATGAGAAGTTGGTAATTAGTTTTTCCAATTCTTTGAAGAATGATGATGGTGTTCATATCAGGATAGCATTAAACTTATATAGTGCCTTGGGCAGAACTGACATCTTTACTATATTGAGTGGAAGCCAAATCTTATAGAAGGGTTTTTTGTGTGTTTGGTTGTTATAGACAGTTTTTAAGACTCCTTATGATTTCCTAGAATTCTTTATTGGCAAATTTCAATGATGGCTTTAACTAAATTTCAATTAAAAATATGTGAGCATTACATTACCAGCTAATAATTGGTTTATTGTTTATAAAACTCTCTTGGGGAAGCTGGGAATACACTGCCCCTCTGCTGAGGCACATGCAGTCCTAGTGGAGGACATTAGAAAAGAAATGGAATTATGTCCTAAACAACATTTTAAATTAGGTAACACAGTGAATTAGTCTGTCTCACCATATTCCCCCTGCATGATGGGATTCAGGATTTAGTTGGTAGATTCTGGGTGCGCTAAGTTTGGCTGTCACCTAAACAATAGTTTTAACTTAAGTGTGTGTGTGTGTGTGTGTCTTTTGTGTTCAAGACCAGGGACCAGGCTTATGGAAATCATGGGCAGTGCACCTCCCTAAATGCTAAAAATCATTGAGAAACGTGATTTTCTTTCTTTTTTATTCTTTTTGTTGTGCACTGGGATGTTTACAGAGCAAACACTCTGTTTTGCATTCAACAGTGTATCCACATTTTGTTTCAGCTAATTGACTGGTATCATCTCAACACAATACTGCATATCCCACTTCTTACATGTGCTTTCTGTTTCCATCCACTCCACTTTTCTCTTCACCCATCTGCACTTTATCCTTGAGCAAATGCTGCCACTTTGTAGCAAATGTTTGATTATTTAAAGGTGAACATACCTTACTAGTGCTATCATTCCATTGATAGACTTGCATGTTGTTGGCTGAAAATTGAGCATAGGGCTGAGTTCATTCCAGATCTGAAGAGGGGTTAAAGCCCAGTGTCTTGGGTTTCCACCAGTGTATATCTGACCAGTAAGCTGGTCCTTTTTATGATTTTGAGATTTGTTCCACATTTCCTCACACTCTGTTCTATTAGAGCAGCAGGTAGTGGTAGCTGGGCACCGTCTAGTTTTTCTGTTGTGTAGACTTTTTCCAATCCATTAGTCCATTGGGCGATTTTGATTTTCATCACTCCTCTGTCTTCCCCAACAGGGAGAGAACAGTATGTACACTTTTGATGGTCACTCATGAGCTTTTATCACCTTCGTTTTTACTCAGCAAAGGGGGGTATGGGACATTGTCTTTGTGTTTGTCAATTGACCTTGGTGTCACTTAAGAGTAGGATCCCGAGCTCCTACTCTTAGTGACTCCTTCCTCAAGGTGTTTGGTGTAATATCTCAGAAATTGCTATAATTTTGTCCCATGTATGCTCCACCACATTCATAAATCTATTTGCAGCAAAGGTCAATACTCATGTACAGGTAGACCGTCAAACACGTAGTCATATCCCCAACCCCAATTCAGCTTATGTGTCTGTCTCTGCATCTGTGTGTTAGGGCTGTGCCGCATGTAATGAGCAGTCGAATCCCCAGGAAGGGAAGACCATAATAAAGAACATGCATATTGTTAACATAAGAATTTGTTTAAAGTGGAATGGGGAGATTTCTAAAATAATCTACGGACAGAATAGCAATAAAACCATGGCAGGACTGGCTAACAGCTGGTGAGGCTGCATTTAGAGCAGATCTGTTATTGAAAGTTACCATGTTTGCTAGTTTCCTGCAAATATTCTAACTCTCCTTGTCATTGAGTCATTGTTGGCTCTTAGCAACGCCTTGTGGGTTTCTGAGACTCTTAACTGTTTACAGGAATAGAAAATCTAATCTTTCTCCCGTGGAGCTAGCTGCTGGGTTGTTTTGAACTGCTGACCATGCAGATCGCAGCCACACACTCTTATGTCTAGCTAGCCATTCCAGCTTTAAACAAGCGTTTTTCATAGTAGAAGGTGGCAGCACATGTTATAATAGGGTCATTGTATACATTTTGTTTCTATATTACATATGTGTGCCTGTATATGTCTAACTCACCAAACCCTGAGCTGATAGTGTGAATGTCCGTAGGATAGAAATCACACCACATGCCTTTGAAAGTGTGCCTGCCCATCTGTTGGCACTTCCCTTGCAGAAAAGATTGGGTCTTGGCATCCCAAGGGATTAGAAATGACCAGAATATCATTTCTAGATGGTGTATCTATAAAAATTTTAATGACACAGGTTTTTAATTTTTTTATTCCAAGAGAAAAACATACCACTCACTATAGGAAAGTGTGAGGGATTCTAGTGTTTTCTATACTGATGGAATTTGGAGAAGAAATTGAACAAACATTTTGTGTTTGTTTTGATTCTTTGTTGCAGTTTCTTAGCCAAGTCTACCAAATTTGAGGTTATTTAAAAGTTGTGTTTTTAGTTAATTTAATTGCTTGTTGAGGCTAATTTAGTGACGGGAATTCTGTTACAAGAAGGTTAATATGTAATTTGTCCAAACTTACAGAAATACCCCATTTTTACCTCATTTTGTGCCTTGCTTTTTTTGTATTTCACAGATAATGTGTTTTTTACAAATTGAAGGACTGTGGCAAGTCTTATGTTATTTCTAAAAATGCATTTGATCACTTCTTGCCTGCCTTACAATGTGGTCATTCTCACAGTATTTCCAACTTTTTCATAATTGCCCGCTACAGACTGCAATAAACATAACTTACATGCACCGATAAACTCAAAAGCTTATGTGATGCACTTTATTGTGATAAAAATTGCTTTAGTGTGGTTATCTGGAACGGTGCCTGCAGGTGTCCAGCACTATGGAGAAGTGCGGGGGGCCCCCCCCCCCCCATCTTAGAGACCACTGCTTAAACGGCTGATACATTTTTGAGGTAATGGCTGCAGAAGGGCAGAAACAGAGTTGGCTATTGTGTACGCTCTGCAATGCCAAGTTGGTAATCAAAATTTTTATTATAAATCAAAGAATGGGAAAGGTTGCTTTTCAGTGTTGGCAAGTTTTTCAAGGAGCTTTGTTTTTTAAAAACTGCAAGTTTGATGAAGTGCCATATATGGGATCCAGGAAATTACTTTGAGTGACTTATTTATCTAGGTAGACCCTTCCTACTTTGCAGCCATGTTTTTATTTCAACTGAAATGTTTTCAAGGTAGATTTTGCTCTTTGTATAACAGCAAAGTAGGAGCAATAAGCTCGATAGTAACGGATTTCCTTATTGGGCTTATATAACTACATGGGCTACAAAAGCCTCTAACACGGTAGTTAAGCAGTTGGTTGTTTTCCGAAATGGGTGTGGTCTGAACTCACCAACTGCACTCAAGAGAAAGATGTCATTCTGCTTTCAAGAAGTTTACAATTTTGGGGCTGTTCTGTCGGTGCGAGAGTGTCTTCATGAGCCTGAAGTATGGCAGTGGGCTTGGTGTAATATGCCTCACATTGGAAAATGGATTAGAAACACTGATCCAGTGGAGAAGTTGAAACTACATTCTTAGGATAAATTTCTAGAGTGAGAATTACATGAGAAAAAAATAGCACGAAGTTTCCTTCTTCCCTTTAAAAAGGGGCACTTGTTTTTTTTTCAAAGAGGTTTGCTAAAAAAAAAAAAAATCTTTGCAAGGCTTTGAAAAGTTCATGGAATAATGGGATTAAAAGGGAATGGGTGTTGTACCATGAACTTTTCAAAGCCCCTTCATAAAAAGTTATTCTTAAAATTGGTTTTTGCCATCATTAAACATAAAGTCTTAAAAATGTTAGCTAATTTGACAGGTATTTCTTTTGAATCTACTTTGCTTTATCGGAATTGACCAGTTATTAACATATAAGAAAGTTTAACTTTGAGAGCAGTATGATTTAGGAAATGAACTTTAGAAAGAAAGATCTAGGCTTGTTTGTTGGCCCAAATGTCTTTTCTTTCTTTCTAAAATGGGGAACGTTTTTATTTTTAATATTTTCTTTTTATCTTTTAACAAATAATTTTCTTGGGGACTCACAGCTCTTCTAAAAGTCCGTACATCAGTTGTATCAAACACATCAAATGTCTTTTCACCTTGGTCTGTGCACTTGGTATTTTTCTGCTTTAATTCCTTCATGTGATTGAAAGGATAGATTTAATAATGTATGTAAAACTTGTAACTTGTCTGATATGAGCCTTAGGATCACAGCCTCTTCAGCTTGCCTGATACAGTGCTCAAAGTGATAGTTCTTATGCCCTTTAGTAGACATTTAATAGGGTTTATGGTGATTGTTTTGCCCAGAATTTTACCTTTCTGCTTCTTGCTCTTCTTTTTCTCCTCAGTGTAAACCAGAATACAAGGTGCCTGGACTTTATGTGATCGACTCCATTGTACGACAATCCCGACATCAGTTTGGTCAAGAGAAGGATGTGTTTGCACCCAGATTTAGTAATAACATCATTAGCACTTTTCAGAATTTGTATCGATGCCCAGGGGATGACAAGGTATGCTGCTGTTCTTTCTTAAGGGCACATTTATCTTCTTGAGCTTGAGCTTCACCAGGGCCTGCGGATTATGTTATCACATGACTTATGAATGTATTTTCATTTACTCCTATTTCATTCTCATCCTGAACAGTATGTCAACATTTAAAAAATACTTTGACTTAGAGATTTGGATTTGGATTCTATCAATTGAAATAAACAAGGGAGTCTTAAATTTTCGACCTCACTGCTGTTGTGGCCTTCAATGTGAGGAAAATGAGGGGGAGGGTGTTTCTCTTTTAACCCTCCCATTACCATCAAGTCGATGCTGACTCATAGAGACCCTATAGGAAAGGATAGAACTCCAGCTGTGGGTTTTCTGAGACTGTTTATGGTAGTGGTTCTCAACCTTCCTAATGCTGCAACCCTTTAATAAAGTTCCTCATGTGGTGGTGACCCCCAACCATAAAATTATTTTCGTTGTTACTTCATAATTGTAATTTTGCTGCTGTTATGAATCGTAATGTAAATATATAATATGCAGGGTATATTTTCATTGTTACAAATTGAATATAATTAAAGCATAGTGATTAATCACAAAAACAATATGTAATTATATATTGAGAAATATTTATTTCTATTTACAAATTAATAAAATTTTGTTTTGAAGCATGGTGTAGCATGGGTAACAGTCTTAATACAACAACAGTAAACTACATGGCAACATTTTGCAATAGTATGTGTAAAAAGCCAAGAAGGTTGAGATAGCTACTTTCTCACCAGATCAGCATATCTGCATGTGGGTGGACCCGCCTGGAGCCTGATAGAGGAGCCGAGGAGCCGTGTCTCAGTTCCTAAGACCATTGGAAACAGGAGTTTCTTAGGCGATCCCTGTGAAAGTGTTGTTCGACCCCCAAAGGGGTCACGACCCACAGGTTGAGAACTGCTGCTTCATGGGACCAAAAAGCCCTGTCTTTCTCCTGCTGAGCCACTGGTGGTTTTTGAACTGTCATTCCAATGCCTGATCACTGCACCACCAGGCTCCTCTTTTTAACCCTTGTAGAAAAGATTACATGTCTACCATATTCATAGTCATGAATGACATTATTAGTTTGTATGTAATGAATAGATTATTTGATAAAGTATAGCTGTCACCTACAGGCCACGTTTGAAATATCTGGGTATCTGTGGACCTGGCAAGTCTTTGTAGATACATAAGGACATGAGACACTTTCTTAGAGCCCAAGTGTTAGAAAACAAGTTCAATGAGGAGAAATCCCAGCATTCCTTTTATAACTTTCATGTACTTCATTTGAAATATAGAATTTTGTATGTTAATGTAGTTTGAACATAGTTTAGAAATAAGTCATTATAATTGAAGAATTTAAGGCTGAACCAGATGTTTATTGTAAAATTTCATATTTTAGTGTTGCAAAAATATACTGTTAACAAAAGGCTCCCCTTTTTTCTTAATTTCATCCTCTAGAGAATTTTCTTCATCGACATGGTTTTGTCACATATCAGTGATTCCACCTTTTTCTTTAATTCATAAATTTTGTTTTTTTGTGATTCCTACGTACCTTTTGTTTTTTTTGTAACAGATGAAACAGTTACTTTCTAGTTAGTCATTTTTCCTTTATACCTGTATACAAGAGTGTTACATGCTATAAATCGGTGTGTGTGGTTCACATTTTCCAGTGCCAAACTCAAGAAAATGTGTGCTAACCAACACTGCTGGGCAGAGCTTTCATAGTATGCATTCCCCCCACCAGGCGAGCATCATTGAACAACTCCCTCTGAGTTAGTGCACCCAGTGACATCCCCTGGGAAGGTTCTCTCATCACTGTGCAATGTTTTGTGAAAGCAGTTTCGGTCTAACCTTTTTGTGATGGCCAATTTCACAGAACCAGCGTGCAGTTGTGAAATTTTGTTTCTTGTTAAAGAAAAATGTCGTAGAATCTGTTGAGATGTTGAACATAGTTTACAAGGACAGTGCTATGGGAAAAACTCAGTGTACAAGTGGTTTTCTCATTTCGAAAAAGGTGAAATGTCCATTGATGACAAACTTCGTTCTTTAAAATTTGAGCATTGGTGCTCGAAGACTGACAACCGACCATTGAAGAGATGGGGAAGTTATCTGGACAATCTTGGAGCTCAATTCAGAGAATTTTAACAGAAGATTTGGGATTGAGAAGGATCGCTGCAAAATTTGTGCCTCGGGTTCTAACTGACCAGGGAAGTGTGTCCAGTGGAAACATGTCGTGCTTTGAAAGAATAGCTCTGAAGCAACCCAGACTTTTCCCCCAAGGTCATTCCTGGTGATGAGACATGGTGCTATTCTTATGACCCTGAAAGCAAACATCAGTCAAGCCAGTGGAAGATGCCATTGTCAGTTACCTCACCCCCAAAAGCTCATCAAGTGAAATCAAAGATCAAGATGGTGCTCATTTGGTTTTTGTTTGTTTGTTTGTTTTGCTGTGAGAGGGATCATGCATTTGGAGTTTGTTCCACCAGGTCAGACTGTTCATCAAGCTCTCTATTTAGAGGTTCTGAAAAAATTGCATAACATTGTGTGACAAAATAGGCCTGATTTGTGGCAGTGAGGACTGGTTTTGCCACAACAGTGCCTCTGCTCACCCAGCCATCTTAGTGTGCCAGTTTTTGAGAAAAAATAGCATGCTTCTCTTCTGTGCACCTGAATCACCAGACGTCGCTCCATGCGACTTCTTTTTATTTCCACAAATGAAGAAGGACATGAAAAGACAGCGATTTGATGATGTAGAAGAGGTGAAGAAAAAAATGAAGGAGGTGCTGTCAGCCATTCAAACAAATGAGTTTGAAAAATGTTTCTAAGAGTGGAATTGCAGATTTGACAAATGTATTATGTGTAATGGAGAGTACTTTGAAGGTGATAAGTTTGTTTTGTAAAAAAAATTTAGTTCATAGCTGGGGGGTGGGGGCGGGGGCAGTGTTCTTGTGGTTGTTTTTTTTTTTTGGGACCCGCATTGTGCACTTGTGCTGAGATGCTCCCATTTCAAGGAGTCTAATAACATGCTATACATGCATAGCATGTTTCTTTAACTTTCCTACTCCCCCTACCCTGAATCAGACAATTGATGTTTCTCTCTTAGAAAGCTAAGGAACATTGTGAGGCAGGTGTTTTTTGTTTTTGTTTTTTTGCTGAGCAACATTTTTTTCCAATTACGTCTGATGCTTCTGAGTTCTGTGAAACTTTAGCAAAACTAAGGGAATTTAGGAATTTAGCAGTTGTCATGTGCTAACTACACATTGCTAATTATTAGATCTCAGAATTACCAAAGAAATAATAGGCAATAATGCTCAATCTTTTGAAGTTTATAATATAAAGAGTACAACAAAGAGATAGGCAACAATTAAAATAAATAGAATTTCACAAATTAAGTAAGATTTTCTGTGAAATCTCTTTTGAACCAAAATTAAGTTAGCCACCGAATGGTATGAATAGTAGTGTTATTGTTTGGCTAACTGAAAAGTTGAAGATACAGCTACACCAAGTGGCTCCTATGACATTAGGCCTGGCATTCTATCACTCTGTGATCCTCACTCTGAGGACTAAGATGCGCACATCCAGGCCCTGGTATTTTCATTTGCCTCTTTCCCATGTGAACGTTGGACATCGCATAAGGAAGACTGAAGAAGAATCAATGTATTTGAATTGTGGTGCTAGCAAAGAATATTGAAGGCACCATGGATTCACAGAAAAATGTATAGCCAGAATGTTCCTTAGGAGATTTTGAAAAACCACTTATATGGAGGATTTAATTGGATATTGTTGTAGATGTCATTTCTTGAGATGGCCTGTGTAAATACATATATAGCATGCTTCCCTAACTTCCTTACTCCCTCTACCCTGGAAAACCACTCCAGATTCCTTATCCCTCCGGTTTAAATGTGGTTTGAGTGGCTTGAAGAAAAAGCAGGACAAGTAAAATTGAAATGGTCTTTTAGTTTTTAGTGACACACAAGTTCATCTCAAACAAACAAGAAGTGAGACTTTGAAGTACTTTGGGACATGTTATCAGGAGAGATAAATCCTTGGAAAAGACATCAGGTTTGGTAAAGTTGAAGGGCATTAAAACAAGATGGATTGACATAATGGCTGCAACAGTGTGCTCCAACTGAACAATTGTGAGGATGGTGTTGTATAAGGCAGTTGTTTTGTTCTGTTGTACATAGATGAGGTCACCATGAGTCTGGAGTGATTTGACTACCTGACAACCACCAGCACCAACTACTGTAGAATAACCAACCAGTCTTTGAAAACTATGGAGCCATGTGAAGCTCTGACATACATGGGTTGTCACAAATTGGGATCGACTTGTTGTCAACTAGTTTTGGTTTTTAATGTAAGTGATTTGTAGAATTACTCTCAGGAGAGCTGTTACTGATAAACAAGACATAACTGTCCTAAGATGCTCTAAATTTACATGTTAAAACATTAAAAGTACTAGACAGCCTAATAGTATAGCAGAGTCAGAAATTGAGGGAGGGCTCCTGAGAAGCCTCCTGGTATACTCTCCCAGTTTATAAGTAGAGAAGTCTGTTGTTGATTTGTTTTTATGGACAGAATGGGTCTAAGGCCAGTGATACCAGAAAGGTTATGGAGACAGTAGATGTTTCATGAAGTTTTACAGCAGCTGTGTAAATACGTGGCTGAATGATCTCTTTCCAGAAATTCTGCCAAGTCCATTGGCTGCGAAGCCATCTAGACAGGGATAGACACTAAAGGACAAACAACCCGATGATGGAGGTAGTGGTGACATGCCTGATGGGGGTGGGATTGTTGAGACCGGTATGGAAGAGAGTGAGCTGAACATGAAGAACTGAGGTGGTTCCCTGAGGTCAGGCCAACTTGCCAGTAGCAGCTATGTTTCGTTATTGCTTTGTAGGATAATCAGAGCCTGTTTTAAGACATTAGATAACTTAGAGCCAGTATGCCAGTGACAGTTTCCTACAGAGGAAGAAGACCTAGGAGGAACAAGTAGTGATTTGATGCTAAATCTGCAGTACAAAAGTTTGTGTGTCATTGATTTCAAATGTTTACAGAAATAAGCATTTATGGTGGGTCCAAAAAGGAAGTAAGTTAAATTCTTACTTGAGTTATCCCCTGTCCCTGTCCTTCAATCCTCTACAACACGTGCATTCAGAAAAAATTGCCCTATAATACAGGGACCTTGCCCTGCAGTTGCTTATTTGTCTTTAGCGAGTAGTATGAATGAGTCAAAGTTACAACCCACTGTAATGTACATAAACCCTCCTCAGCACAGGCCTCCAGACAGCCACAGCCATCTTCTCATGAGGGTTGACACGGAAAATAAAGGACACCTACTGTCCTCCCTTGTCTTCAGCATAACAGCGCCTGATTTACTCTATCAGAATGCTTTTGTGTTTAAAATCAGCTAAAGGTAACAAGTGCAAAACTCAATAACCACGAATGTCATGGGTGGAAAGTCCTATGGAAGAATATTTGTCCATTCTTTCATTCCATACCTGAGCAACCTTGAGGAAATGACTGGTAAGATTTTGAAAGCATAAAATTTATAAAAGGTTTTCTTTCTTTTCAGAGTAAAATAGTAAGAGTATTAAACTTGTGGCAGAAGAATAATGTGTTCAAGAGTGAGATAATCCAGCCTCTCTTGGATATGGCAGCAGGGATCCCCCCTCCAGTTGTTACTCCGGTTCTGGCAAGCACCACCACAGCCATGAGCAACACCCCAGGTATGTTGCCCTGAGGCGGTTTGTGCTACAAACATTCAGTTCCCATTTTCCTTTCCAGGTGAGAGCCAGGAAACTATTTTGAAGGAAAAAAATCAATTCGAAATTTATACTTGTGATTCTTTCCAACTTTGAGAAAGCCTTTTGTTTGTTTTTAATTGTCAGAAAGAAACACATCAATGTGTTTGGAAAACGGATGAGTTCCTAAGGCTTCCCCAGGTATAGTTATTTGTCAGCTCTTCACCTTACATACAAATCATCTGATCCGGTGAAGCAGGCTCACTGCTATGGGTGCCATTTCAAACTCAGAGCGACTCTATAGGGTAGAATAGGATTGAATTTCTGAGACCTGTAAATCATTATGTGAAGCGGAGAGGGCCCCATCAAGCAGCTGATGGGTTTGAACTACCTAACATAAAGTTAGCTACCCAGTGCTTCACCTACAGTATCATCATGGCTTCCTGATAGAGAAACATTTGTAAGGAGCCTTGGAAAAATTTAGTGAAGCTAAAAATGCTTTAATAATAATGCCAATATCATATTTTGTTAAAGTATTTAAATGGGATTTAACACTTTTCATTGTAAACCAAGAATTATAGTTGGTAATATTTTGATATATATCAGGGTGTTTTTGCAACCTACATATAGAATTACATTTTTGAACAAAAAACGATATTGTGTTACACATACTGTTCTTTATTTTGCATATGCCTGTATCGTTGGGCATTGAATAAGGAAGACTAAAGAAGAATCAGGGCCTTTGAATTAGAGTGCGGGCAAAGAATATTGGACTACACAAAGAACAAACAGCCCTAGAAAGAAGTTGGAGAATGTTCCTGGGAAGTAGGATGGCGAGAATTGTTCCTGGGAAGTAGGATGGCGAGAATTCATCTCCAGCACTTTAAATGCGTTATCTGGACAGACTCGTTCCAGGAAAAGTAGAAGGACAGTGAAAACGAAGACGACCTTCAAGATTGACTGACACAGTGGCTTCTAAAAAATCAGTTGAGAATAGTGCAGGGTCAGCAATGTTTCAGTCTATGAGTTGGACCAACTAGATGCCACATAACAACATTTTTTATGAATTGGAAAAATCAACAGGGCATTTTGAATAGCCTTCATGTCATTCACTTTTCTTTGGGAGTGAGCTTGTAATTGCTTGAGAATTTTTAATTCTTTAAATGATTTAAAAGTTTGTCCAAATGAAGAGAATTTAAAAATATTTGTATACTTTTGTAAGTATCTTATCAAAAGTCAGTATCACAAGCCTTTGAAACCAACTTACATACTGATTATGCTTTGTTCAAAGGAACTCCTGTGACACCTGTTACTCCTGCCAATGTGGTCCAGGGCCTACCTGACCCGTGGGTGTCTCAGATCACCAACACAGATACACTTGCAGCCGTGGCTCAGATCCTACAGAGCCCTCAAGGCCAACAGGTGATTTGGAATTGATTTTATAAAATACTGCTGAGGGTGTGTGGTTCGTTCTTTTTCATTTTCGAAAGATAAGCTATTTTATATACCACGTTGTGTATCGTAGTGAAGCTTAGTAGCTTTGTAAACGTAGGCCCTTCACATTTCTTAGACTTCTCCTGTGAATACTTTTTTAAAAAGCACTTTATTGGTTTGAGTGAAAGCTTATGCGGCATATTAATTTCCCATTCAGCAGTTTCCACAATTTTGCGTGGTATTGGCTGTTGCCCCTGCACTTTGTCAGCATCTCCCACCTCAGCCTCACCTTCCTGGTTTCCGTCCCCTGTTTACCGTCTCATCGTTGCTTTTGGGGAAACATTGCCTCTTTGGTCTCATATAGCTCATTTTTCCAAATTGGAGCACATTCTTTGTGTTTTTATTTTATAGGCTAATCTATAGTCTTTGCCTGAAAGATGTCTTCTAGGACTGGCTGCAGTTTAAGACTAAAAAGGTATCCTATTAGGATAGTCTTGAGCTTTTTGATCAGTCTGACCCACTAAGCCTGGACTTTTTAAAAATAAATTTAAATTCTGTTCTACATTTTTCTCCCATCCTTGTGAGCTTTTCTATTTTCTCCCTGGGAAGAGCAGACACGACAGCTCAGCATCATCTACTGCAGGGGTCCTCAAACTGCGGTCCACCGAAGACATTTATCTGGCCCGCTGGGTGTTTTTTACTCAGTTTTGTTTTTTTACTTCAAAATTTAGATATGTGCAATTTGCATAGGAATTTGTTCATAGTCTTTTTTTTAAACTATAGTTCGGTCCTCCAACGGTCTGAGGGACAGTGAACTGGCCCCCTGTTTAAAAAGTTTGAGGACCCCTGTTCTACTTCCAGTTGGCAGGCTAGAAAATTTGATGGTTTTTGTTTTTTTTTTGGGTGGGGTTGGGTGAGTAAGTAGCCATTGACAAATTTCATTTCATCTTTAATGGGTTTTCATTGTTCTGTAGTTAAACTCCATTATCTGCAGCGAGCAAGTCTGTATCTATGGTTTAAGTATTTATAACATATAGTTTTCTTTTATTGCACTGGTTGTATGCTCTTGAAAAGATTTTAACACAAGCCTTGAAGGGGCAATCATTCTTTTCTCACACTTCAGTAGAAAGGCAGCTTTCTTCCAGTACGAAGCTGGGTATTTGTTTTGATGTAGTCTTAAAAACATAATTTGCTTTTCTTAGATTATAGCTTAAGTTTAAACCACTCAAAAAAAAATCGGTCTCTGAGTTCAAATTTTCTCAATGTATATGTTAGTATGGTTTTTCTCTTTTAACTGATGATAACAATGGTTATAATAATAGCGTTGTTTATAATGGGTGAGCATTCATTGTTTTCATTGACTAATAAGTCTTATGGGTAAGGTGACCAGATTTTAACATTGGTAAAGCCGGACACCATTGATAAAACTCATATCCTAGCAAAATAGCCACATGGCAGCCGAAGACCATATACCTTAGCTTGTTGTGCATTCTTTCCCAAAATTGGAACTTTTTAAAAACGCCACGGAACACGGGAAAATTGTTAAAAAAATTGGGAATGTCCCGCCAAAAGCGGGAAGTCTAGTCACCTTACTTATGGGGGGAGGTATTCTTAAAGATCACACCCACAACTTGCTTTGTACTAATTCCCTGTCCCTCTTCCAGCTTCAGCAGTTGATACAGACTTTACAGATACAACAGCAGAAGCCCCAGCCTTCCATCCTGCAAGCCCTTGATGCTGGGCTTGTGGTTCAGCTGCAGGCACTTACAGCACAACTCACAGCTGCTGCTGCTGCCGCCAACACCCTGAATCCCCTGGAACAGGGTGTCTCCTTTAACAAGGTAGAACTGTGATGTGAAGACATGACTTTTGTATGAAGCATACTAGAATCTGTTTTATGATCTGCCTCTGCCGATTCTAATTGTACAGATTGCAGTTTACTATATCTTCTTCCACTGTGAAGTTGAGTCCAACTTGAGTGACCCTTTAAGACAGAGTCGAGCTTCCTCTTTAGGTTTCTGAATCTTTTTAGGGGAAGAGACAACCTCATCTCTCTCCCTTGGAGTGGCTGTTGGGTTTGAACTACAGACCCCTTGTGGTCAGCAGCCTAGCTTGTAACCCACTTCACCACAGCCCTTCCGTTTTACCTTAGAGTTGTAGTAATAACCCTCTGTACTGCCTAAAGGAGTCCTGGTGGCCTACTGGGTTGATGCCTGAGTTGTGGACCACAAAGTCAGCAGCACCAACCTCCATGTGGCTCTCGGGGAGGAAGATGAGGATGGCTGCGTCTGTAAAGACCGGCATGGAAAACTCGTAGGGGCAGTTCTGTCTACTCTGTCCTAAACGTTCATTGTGACTTCAACTTGGCTTCATGGAAGTGAGGTTTTGAGCATAAATTGTGTATAAAAACCAAGCCAAACTCATGGTTGTTAAGTTGATTCTGACTCAAAATGACCCTACTGAACAGAATGGAACTACCGCTATGAGGCTTCCACGTCTGTACTTTTCACAGAAGCAGGCTGCTTCAACTCCTGCAGAGCGGCTGTTCGGTTTGAACAGCTGCTTAATCACTGCAACACCAGGCTTCACAGTGATTCAAAATTAACAACCAAAAAAGACATCTGATATAAATTAAGTAATTTATTTTCTTTTGACTAAATGATAAATTGCCAGTAAAAGTGTTTACTCTTCTGAGGTGAATTATTCTAAATGTTCTAATTTTCGTATGGATGCCACATACGAAAATAAATAAATAAATTATTTACTCTGCTAAAATGAACTCTTGAATATGTGAAATTTTGACACTATTATAATGAATAGTCTTTGAGCTTATTTCCTTTTGTGTTGCAAATATATTATATTTATGATTTATTGTGTAATATGTACAGCAGCCTTGGGTATTTCCTGTCATACTACAGTATTTCTCAGAACTGTTATCCATATTTCTTCTGTTCTTTTCATAGGGAAATGAATATAGATTTATGGGATTATTAGACTTATATGGACCTTTAGTTTCCAAGTATAAATTTTATATTACTATAGTTCTAAATAGTTTGGTCACATAAAGGCCCATTAAGGGGAGCCATTCAGAAAATAATGCAACATTTTTAGAACTGTGCTTGAATTGCATTTTATTATTCCTATGCACAGGTGTTTTAATAAGCTACATAATTACTTTACTCTTTTTTCTATGATGCAAGAATGTCAGTGTTTGTCCTGATAACGGTGTGATTTGTGAGCTATAACAATGAATTTCAAAGTACATTTTAAAGAATGTAAATATTTACTCAAATGAAATGTTTTAATCTATAAAATAAGTTACATATTATGTGACATAATTAACTTTATGAGGGTTTTCGTGATGTGCAAATTAATCTTTGTAACTTAGATTTGTATGACTTGTTTTTAATTTGTCTTTTCTTTCTCCTTTGCCCCTTGCCCCCAGAAGTTGATGGATAGATTTGATTTTGGAGAAGATTCTGAGCATAGTGAAGAATGCAAAAAGGAAATTCCAACTTCTCAACTGTAAGAATTGTGATTTTTCATTCAGACTAATTTTATAAACAACAACATTAGGTACTACTTTGCCACCTGAGCTGCTGATTTGACTTTGAATACGTTAGAGTTTATGATTTTGGTCTTTTTTGGTCTACCATCATAGAAAGGTGAAGGAGTTGCTATCTGATCTCCCTGTATTGTTTTTGACTCTCCCTCAGATTGTGTGTTTATTTTGGATACTTCAAAGTTCCATATTGGGAAATATGAGTATTGCTGTTATTGATGAATATGGATATTGTTATTATTGATAAATTTGGTTGGGTAATTTTTCTGTGTGTTCCAGACAATATGGTATGTAAACTTGTAAGAACATTTGAAATACCAGGTTAGCAGTTTACTTGTAGTAACAAGGACCATGTGTTTACTTACGTGAGTGATTCCCCCATCCCATTTCCCAACCAAAGAAAGAAAATGCAGTAACAGCCTATTCTGCAGAGCCACAGCTTCTGTGAGGGTGTGTGAGTGGACCAGTGGGGGAGGAAGGTGTTGGGGTGGAGGTGAAGCTGTGATAGAAGGTGGAAGAATGACGGAGGGTGGATGATGGGGGAGGAGACTATGTGGCTCTGCGTCAAGCAGATGTTACTCTTTTATGCATTGGGATAACACGCAGGGTGACATTTGATAGCGCCGCTCTACTTGACAAAATTATAAACCTAGTACTTTATATTATAAAGCTTAAAGTTAGAAGAATCATTTGAGATTATTTATAGTAACTCTTCTAAGCAGTTTAAACATCTCCTTTAACAGCCCTGGCAAGCTCATTTGTCCTGTTTAGTGTTTTCTAGGTAAGAAATGAACTATTTGGAATGTTCTTTTGTTTAAGTGAATTCTGCTCCCATAACTTTTGTATACTAGTCCATGGTTTGCTTTCTAAAGCCAGGAAACAAATGTTGCCCCATTGATTGTCAGATCCAGCCTTTCAGAATTTGAAGATAGGTATTGTTCTTCCTCGTAAGTTTATTTGCTCCAGATGAAGTATACTTTCCCCCAGCTTTTTCAAGACTTCTCACCATCCTGATTACCCCCTTTGGGGTACCCTCTTTTTTTATTCATGTCTTACTTTGGCACCCAGAATTCCAGGTGGGAATTCACACAGTGCAGTTAAAATATTTTTCCTTGTATTTATATTTAAGCACTATATTTCTGCTAGCATACCTGATAAAGTCTCTGATTATCTAAATAAAACAGTGATTTTTATAATGTTTCTGATCAGTTGCATTGTACATTTTACTTACACTCAGACAATTTCCCCCACTTTTTCTGTGCTGTCCCTGGGTTGCGCAGGTGGTTTGTGATAGACAACTAACCTACTAACTTGAATGTTTATGGTTTGAGTCACTCAGTCGTGTCACAGAAGCACAGCCTGACGATCTGCTTCTGAAAAGATAGCCAACACCGCCCTCTGCACAGGTCTACTCTGTCACACGTGGATCAGCAGGAGGCGGAACTGAGTTGATAGCATCGAGTTTAGTGGTTAGAGGAATGAAAGTGACAATACTTAAATAAATTAATTGTTCTTATATTGTGCTGAGTTTTGAAAACACTGATGTTAATAAATAAGCACACATTGATCTTCGTAATATGAAATAGTAATATCGGATCTTTAATATGTTTTCTATTGGAACACTAATGAAGAGTGTTTTACGGTCCTAAGTTTTCCATTTTTGATATTAACTACATTGAAGAGCAAACACTGTTAGCAATGTATGCTTTTTAAAAATCTTTTTCTGTGTTTAGTGAGTTTTAACATATATGACCCCCTTTCCTTTTTAGTCCTCACGTTTCAGAATCGGTGAACAATTCCATCTTTCATCAGATAGCCGAACAGCTCCAGCAGCAGAACTTGGAGCACCTCAGGCAGCAGCTACTGGAGCAGCAACAGCCGCAAAAGGTGAGAGTTAGTGCTCTCTGTACCCTTAGCCTTTTATCTGTCACTCGCTTCCCTTTCTAAAGTCCAGTAGTAAGCCTACAGCTGTACCAAGAGCCCTCAAAGTTGAACAAGTTCATCTTCTTTTCCTTTTTGAGAGCTCTCTCATATAGCACTAAATAGATCAGTCTTTTCTGAGCTTTTCATAATTATTTTTCTGTAACCAAAGTCTGTTCTGGCAATTTAGGATTCCATTAAGAACATTGCAGAAATGAATACCCCTAAGCTTGGAATGTAGGGCAGAAGACAAATGGTGTTTCAGAGTTAATGCAGAAAACGTTGCATGATTTTTACCAGAATTCCCTGCCACGGTGATGGTGAATGTACTGCTTTTAATGAAACCCCTGCCAGGTGGCAGGAACATTGTCAGGTATGTTATAGATGTACAGTCCATGCACAGCAAGCACGTGGCAATCACATTCCACCAGACAACTTAGACTTAGCAGAATGAAACACATAATGCAACACCAAACCGCTAATATCCCATATCTTCGTTCTTAGGATACATTCATATTTTACACATAGATGAGAAGTTTTAAACACTTCTAAGTGAAGTGTAGTATGCCATTGATTTGTCAGACTCTAACAGTTTTTAGCACTCTTTCCTAATGCAAATAGTACATGAAAAATGGGTATTAATGTTTACTGAACTGGAACTTATGTCTGGAGTTAAGGAAAAAGAATTCTATACCTTATTTTCAGTCTCTGATTCTGATGGGAGTCAGAGTGGAGCCGTATGTGCTGTCAAATATATTTGCCTGAGAATTTAGGAACTTACACACTGAAGAGCAGCAGGGATGTTGCTTAAGAAAAACTCAAGTTGTAACTAAGCAATGGGAGCAAAACCACGAAGTCCCAGAGGAATCCCCATTGTAGACATCAGTCTTGGGGTCAGCACTTGGCACCTCATCTGAACTGCTTGGGGTACTCACAAAAGGGCTACACTGAAAGTCTAAAGGTTTAATGGGGGCAGGGCACTAGACCGCCCCATCCCTGGCCGCACGAAGAGCAGTAGGGACTTGCAGGAGGTGTGCCTCTTGGTCTCGGATGCTAAGGAATAAAAGGGAATAAGGGTAAGTGGGTCCCAGTATATGGAACCCTAAATGAAAAGGGGATTCGACTGATATATTAAAAGGTCCTGCTCACTATTGAACAGAGAGAAAACAATTAGTCTGTGAACTATTTGTATAGTCCTGTTTGTTTTTTTCTCCCTCTTTTGCTGCTTGTCTAGATAAGATAGGTGGGATAAGCAACCCTTCTGGGAGGGATGGGAGGGGAGTGGTGTGCCAGTATCCACAGGGATGGGATTAGCTAAATGGGTACCTAAGCAAATATGAAGAAAGCTGATATTGCTCTACTATTAAAAGGTCTGGGGTCTTAATAGGCTTGTAGCTTAAAAAGTGGCCATCTCGCAGGGAAGCAACAAAGCACACATGGGAGAAGCACATGAGCGTGTGTGATCATGAAGTGTTGATGGGGATAGGTATGAGAAATTAAAAAACAAGCATCAAATTGACACGAAGGAGCGTGGACAGAGACCCAAAACCCACCTGTATGATAATTGGACAGTCCCTCACAGAAGAGCCACACAGAAGGGATGATAAATCTAGGGAGTGTTATATTTCCTCCCCTTACTCTTATGGTCTTTGCTTTACCTCATTAATCTTGTTAGACCTGCTTATATTCATTTGTACAATTAAGAGCATTCGATGCATGAAAGCCAAGATAGATAACCCTTCAGAAACAGTTATGGGAGTAATGATTCCGAGGGTTCCGGAGGGGGGTGAGGAGCGTAACAGTGATGACTATATCACCCCACTCGAGGGGAATGAATAGCAGAATTGCAGGTGAATGGATACATTGGATGGTGTAAGATAATGGCAAATGCCCGCGCGCACACACACACACACACACACACACACACAAAAAAAAATAGGGGTTCCTGGAGGGGTAGGGTGTGGGAGGGAGAGGCTAAAGGTGGGCTGATATCAAAGAAATCAAGAAGAAAAAATGTTTTAAAACTGATGGTGGTTGCAATTGTAAAATTATGCTTGACCTGACTTATAGATTGTTATATCTGCAAGAGCTCACAATAAAATGATTAATAATAAAACAAAAAGAAATAAAATATGTTGTTAATGATGAAGTACAAACTCAGAACTGTTAAACAAGAGATAGTATCCAAGCAGTAGATTTGCTTAGTTATAAGTTACATTTATCAATTCTGCAATGACTGAAGTGAACCTTACTGTGTACTAGAGTGAGACCAGAAGAATCTCATCTGCTATGGGACAGTCTTGGGCATCATTACTTCGTGTATAATTTCTACAACTTCTGAGCATACAGTAATAGGATCATTTTGATACTAATAGGAGTTCTTAAAAGCACTTTGTATTAAAAGCTGACTCCGATGAAGAAAAGGGATTAGAGAAGAAAACAATCATTTCTCATGTATAGGGCAGATAGTGAATAAATCCTCCAACAAAGCAGAATCAAGAAACATATCAACAAGTTGAAAATCAAACTTAATGATCATGTGATTAACTTTAAAAAAAAATACATTCATTGGGTCCTCTTACATCTCTTTATCACAATCCATACATTCTTCCAGTGTGTCAGGCACATTTGCACATATGCCTCCATCATCATTTTCAAAGCATTCTTTTCCCACTTAAGCCCCTGATATGAGCTCCCCATTTCCCCCCCACTCCCCCGCCCTCCCTCTGTAATTAACTCTTAACAAGGAAACCACTTATATTGGTGTATTTAAGATAGGGTGTAAGAGGCAGAAAAAATGAGATATTTGTTTTTTAGTAAGCTCTCTTACTGTGGCTGCTTAAAAATTATTACAGATAACTGAACAGAACTGATAGTGTCACTCTACTCATTGCAGCTCTCACCACCCCTAGAGGCCCTGTTGAGGTCTAGTCTCTGTAAATACTAGTGAACTATTGACACACTGGAGCACTTTGTGAGAATAATGAGCTAGAAATCATAAGGGGAATTGTTTTTGTCTTCAGTAAGTTGGAATTGATGATTTTAATATTTGTTATATCAGAATATTTAAGTGTCAGAGCTGTCCCTCCAAATGGCATGCTGGTGATAAAAATGGTAAATAAAAAAGTCTTTTAAAAGAACATTAAGACTCTAGAGATTTAAAGAAGATTCAGTCACTTTAGGGCCTAAAGCTTAGGCGTTCTCTGTAATTTTGAAACTATGATTTCTGAAATGATAATATACAGAGAAATTTGATGGAAAGAGTAGAATTGAACACGATGTCTTCCAAGATGTGATATTAAGATCTATCCATTTCTATAAATGTCTGAAATAAATGGAGATGGTCCTGAGATTAATGGCTTATTAGGTTCTTGAAGATAAAGTCTCTCTTGTCGATTAGACTGACAACATGGAGGAAAATAGATTCAGACTCGATTGAAGTGTAGGAAACTTCATGCTGATCCAGAAGGAAGTCGGCCAACTGCCGTTCTCTAGTTTGATTTTATTCAACATTTTTATTGATGCTTTGTATGAAATCATGCTAGAAGGAGCCAGGATTTCTTCAACCAGGATGTGTACCAGTATACCAGGAGGGGTAGTCAATTGTCACCAGAGAGCCCTCTTAAGTTTTTTTTTTTTTTTAGTCTGCAAAGTTACCAGTTTAAAACCATCAATCTTTCTGCACAAGAAAGGGCTTTCTACTCCCATAAAGGGTTAAGAGACTTGGAAAACCCACGGGAACACTTACACCCTGTCTTATAGGGTCATTATGAGTGCCAAATTGAGGCTTCTTCAGAAGCCACACATCCCTTTAGCATCCAGGTTATTCTTGCAGTGTAATGTGAGACAAGACCCCCCTCATCGAAGGCAGAACTGAATCTTCTGAGTACGTATATTTATTTATAATTGACCAGTTTTTGTGTTTGAGAAATATATGCAGTTTGGCCATCTGAAAACTCAGTCTGCAATTTCAATTGTAGGATACATTTTATTGTTTCGATTGTAGCATATGAGATCCTGCTCTTCCTATCTTTTTCTCTGTTTAATAATTCCTCTCACTTTTCTGTTGTGAGAAATCTGAATATTCAACTGTGTTCAAGGAAAGATGGAAAGATAAAAGACTTAAAAGATTATATATTTAGTCATGTGTGAACTTTCTTCAAAAGTGAAGCAGTGTTTAAAACTGCAGTGAAACGGATTTATGATTGATTTTACGGAATTCTTCTGTTACCATTCTTTGATTTTTATCTTTTTTATATAATTGAGAATAGTGGATAATTACATAATGAAATAATTCCTAGCTTGAAGAAATAGCAAATTTTTTGAGATACAGGAAAACCAATCTTTATATTTGGTAAGATTTATTAAAGGGACCAATGAATCTTCAAGGTAGAATGTATTAAAAAAATTTTTTTTTAATCTTTTTTTTTTGAAACATTTTATTAGGGGCTCATACAACTGTTATCCCAATCCATACACACATCAATTGTGTAAAGCGCATTTGTACATCATTCTCAAAACATTTTCT